TTAGCCAATTGAGTTACAGCTGCCTTGATGGCTGAATTTCTAGCTTTAACACACTTTGATCATGTTCCCCAAAATGTAAAAAGTGCTGATGCAAACTGGGACACTTCCCACATATAAAGGCGCTGACTGACTCTGCTCTTTCTCTAAATGAGGAAATAGCCATTGATTGCAATAAAGAGCAAGAGAGACCTTTGAGTCGCTTGCAAAAAAAAAAAAAGAAGCAAAATTTGAATGTGGCTGGTGATTCACAGGTCTGTAATCAGGCTAGTGAGATGTGGACGGAATTACAACCACACTTTACTGAAGATTTCTTACAAATGAGGCGAGAGACGCATGGGCCCCGAGCCAACACAGAGTCTCATGGTTGCCCAACAGACATTCATTGTGCACTGCTCCATTTGCCTGTTATATCCCTGCTTGTATGTAGAGAGTGGAGCTGCATACATAACCTCACATAGAGAAAAACAGACGAGGGATTCATGCGTACGGGCACACACATGCTTCACGGTTTCCTTTGTGTTCACGAGTACGTATCGGCAGTTCAGCGACTACTCATGGATATGAGCTAAGGAGCTAAAGTAAAAGGGGGACAGAAAGCACAAAAGCAAAGCAAAAATAGATGGTGGAATACAATGACACAGAGAGCGGACACAATAACCACGGGGAGAGAGGGAGATGGGGGGAAAAGGGAGGAGAAAAGAATACAAAAGGACTAGGTAAAATATGTCATTATCCTCAACAGACAAAGATTTTCTGTCTTCCAGGACACAGAGATTCGTTTAGATCTTCACCAAACGTGGTAGTGAAGTAGAGGGAGAAAAATGCTTTGGAAAACCTACCTCCTATATGTCGTCAACTTGAAACCAAAGACTGTACATTATAACAACTTAAAAAATGAAATCCCTTTTATCTGAAGTCACGGTTTACAGGGCATTTTATCACCTGCCAAGAATTTCCCTGCGTGTTCTTATGTTGTACTGCACAACTAAAGGCTCCTATAGCAAGCGTGATACAACTGAGCCTTAGAAGAGGCGATGTTTTCCTTTTATGTTGGGGTTTTGAGAAAAATAAAGCACATAAAGACTGAGCAGGTTATGAAATTAAATGTAATTAGCAGAAGGGTTGTGAGAATGCAAGTGATATCCAGTAAATAAAATGCTTCAATATTTGAGCCCATAGCAACACCGCAGGAGACGATGCATAGCAGAATAACGTAGCAACAAGAAGCTTTTCAACACTGAGTGCAGCCTTGACTTGACAGAATAAGCATCAACAGTGGTTGAAATAGACACTGAGAACTAAGCTGTACATTCCTGGTGTCTATCAAGAGGGTTACAGATGTTTGAGTTAAACTTACACAGATTTACTTTGACATTTCAAAGTATATAGATATAAACACATAAATATGCACATATATTGGCAATACTGTGACACTAAGAAGTCCATATGAACTTCATTTCCTCCATAATGTCATTGAAAAAGGAAATTTTCACATTTTTTACATTCATTTATTCTGAAAATGTGATATCGGATATTTCAAACATTTATTGCTTTAATTTAGATGCATATAGCTTATAAATCATGAAGATAAAAAAAAATCAATATCTTAAGTTGGTGAGAGGTTGGGTATTTCTCATCATTGTTTAACAGACTCTCTAATAGGTTCAGGTCAGGTGATTTGGCTAGCCAGTCAAGCAGAGTTATGTCGACACATGGTGAGCAAACCATTTGGTAGTAGTTTTGGCACTGTGGGCAGGTACTTAGCCCTGCTGGCAAAGGAAATCAGCATCTCCGTGAAGCCCGTCACCAGGTAAAACCTCCTGATAGATGTCTGGGTTGATTTTGGACTTAATAAAACATAATGGACTAACCAACACCAAGACATGGCACACCGAATGATCACAGACTGTGGAAACTTCACACTGGACTTCAAAACCCTGGCTTATGAGGCTGACTGCTTTTCCTCGAGATGCCTCAGACTTTGATTTCTAAATGGAATACAACATTTACTTTAATCTGAAAAGAGGACTTTTGGACCAATGAGCAACAGTTGGGTTCTTTTTCTCCTCACTCCAAGTAAAAAACTGCTGACATCACTGGTTCAGAAGTGATAAGATATTAGGAATGCAACAGCACAAGCCTCAGTGCACTCCCTGTCAAGTTCTGGAATCAACTTTTCGTCACAATCAAGAAAATCAAGATTGTAGTCATCCACGTTACTTGTGCACCTCTTCCCACCACACTTTTCCCGTCCAGTCAACTTTCCATGAAAACAGAAAGCTTTGATATGGCACTCAGAGAACAGCCAGTCTTTTCACCTTCTGCATTTTTCCCTCCTTCTGGAGAGTATCAGTGGCCGTCATCTGGACAACTGTAAAGTTGTCTTCCCCATGATTTTGTTGTGTGGACAGAACTATACTATGAGACAGATGCTATTCGTATGGTTTAAATTGTAATGTACTCAAACGTGAAAAGAATGAATCACGATAGTGGATTTCTGATTGGCTGATCATGGGCTGTCATTTTTCACACAGGCTTCATTCAAGTTTTGTTTTAGGAGAAAATCACTTTTGAATTTGTAGATGCTCTGACAATGATCAGCTGCTGTCATGGTTTGATAAATCTAGCTGTAAGATTTTCTGGTGAAGTACCTGGCTGTTAAAATGGCATTACTCACTGTAGAAGCGCAACATATTTTTACTTCAAATAACACTATTTCTGGCATTGTGAACTACTACCAAAGAGCTTTCTAAACTCTCACAAGTGATTTTGAGAAACACGACAGGGGCTTAAAGTTTGTAACCTGGATTTGTTGTTCAAGGTTATAGTTTGCATTATTATTTTGTAACACAGACATTCCTAAAACATTAGCCAAAATCCATACTTGTTGCTTTCAAGCTCAATAAGCCCCGTAGAGTTGTGTTTTGGTGCCAGTGAAGTGCCACCTGCAGGCTTTACTAAAGGATTCAACAAGTGGGCCAAAATGTCAGCCCACTCTGCATGATGTCAACAAGTAGGCTAGAAACATCTATAAAAAAAAAACAACAACAAAAAAAACAGCATCAGCCACCAGTGAAAATTACGTTTACATTTCAAAGCTTCTATTAATGGAAGGCAGCTTTACTAAGTATGCTCTAGCTTGTGAAGCCTGCGCCCTTTTATACTATAGAGTACAAACAGATGCTTCCTGATGTTCACACAAGGGGGTTGCCCACTTTGGCAGCTTTCAGCTGTTTGGCAGCTCTTTGTGGAGTGATATAATTGACTCTGGAGCAGTGGATTATTCTGCAGGAGAAATCAGAAGACTGTCTTTATGCTATTCCTCATGCCACAACTGTTTTCTGGCCAAACAGGTTTACCACAGCGCCCATATTTGGGAAAATGAGAAAGGTAGCACAGCAGGGGTTTTTTTTGTTTTAAAAAGGTGGTTTAACATCCAATTTCCAAACAGCTATGCAGGAAATATGTTGCCCTAAGCTAAAGAAAAATATATCACTTAATCACTGTCAGTGGAGTATTAGCCACTGACGTGTCCGGCGACGAACACGGAGATAAGAAATAACTTGTAGTCATCCGGAACTGCTGTCCAAACATATGAGCCATAGCAAAAATGTTGAGAAATGAAGGTTCATGTTGTCATCGTGATACTTTGTCACTGCCCTCTGGAGAAGTAGGTTGAAAAAAGAACAGGAAGCTATCCAAAAATACTCTAATGGTGAGTCCAGTTATCGGAAGTGAAAATGCAACTGAGCCAGAATAGGGCACTAAAATGAAAGACCCCTACTGAAATCCCAAAATGCTCCCAACATCAGTGAGTGGGAAAAAAAAGTTACATTTTACGTAGTCATACCCAGTTCTAATGATTACACACACATCATGCTCCACCCACATAAAAAAAAAGAAAATCTGTGTGAAGTTCAGAACATGTCCCTTGTGGAATTGATCACGAAGCCTTCTTTCTTTACACAATGCAAAATATGCAAAATTCACAGCTCCCCTGCTTTAAACCCTATCTCCCTATAGCCTTTCCCTCACTTAGCCCTCTCCATCTGCCATCTCTCTCTTCTCACAACTCCTACTCTTCAATTTCCTGCTTTGTTGTGCTTCCCGCATTCACTTCCTTCCTTCGCCATCCTCTTCAACTTTATGTTGTTTTCAAAGCATTTCTCATCTTTTAATCCATTTCCTACCACATATATTTCCACTTGTCCTCGCAAACGTCATTCTCATCCCTGTACCCATCATATTTCCCCCTCTCAGTCTCTTTTTTTATTAGTATCTCCTCCTCCTTGCCTCCCTGCAGTGTTAAAGCTGTACCTGCGGCATTCTGCTCTCAGTATCCTCTCATCTAAATGGGATGTGTGGCCTTGTTATAACTGATTCCTCTAGACAAGAGGTGAGAGCTAACCTTTCTCCTGCTTCCACACCTCACCCGCTCCTGTTATTTGTTTTCATAACACAAATATGCTGTCCTCGGTCACAGCATCCATCAAAAAGCTTTAACATCCCAACTCTAACAGACAAAACAAAATAAATTCTACGAAATGGAGCTCTGTCTTTAACGGTGCTTAAACCACTGTGTGAAAAAAAGAAAAACCTCCTCCGGAGGTAAGATTCATATCGGATTAATGCACAAGTGAAAGATAAAGACAAGAGGGGTGAAAATACTGAGAATATCCTCGGATATCTGCCTGTGCTAATGAATATGATTAATGTTAAGCTGCTAGAGTATCCACTTTCCATGTGGATATCGAAGGGAAAAAAATTATATTCTCAGCCCATGAGTTACAACAAAGCATATCAGACGAAATAGGTTTTCTTTACCAAGGCACACAGGTAGAGATGATAACTCGTTACTGTAGTCAAATACCATCCTTCCTGTTATAAAGGCCCAGAGAAAAAAGAAGCTCTTGTGGTACACTCATCAGGAGACTCACACGCATAACCTCACACAGCAGTACTCACTTATACAATTCCATAAATTCAAAAAGTGAACTCACGCGTCCGGAAGCGGTGGTGTGGGCGTGTGGCCGGGCCCTTGCCTGGGCGTCCATGATTCCAGCGTGACGTGGGCTTGACAGGGGCTGGCGGTTGAGAGGTGGTCGGCTGTACCTTAGCAGTGGCCTTCAGTGTAGCTGTAGTTGTAACAGATGTGGTAGTGGTGACGGTAGGAGAAGTCTGCCCTGGCTTGGAGTTGACAGCTCCATTACGTCCATTGCTGTTTCCCTTTCTCACATTACTTCGAGGGGTGACCTCCCTACCGCTGGATGGTGGAGTGAGTCGGGTGGCACGAGTAGCAGAAGTGGTAACAGTCCCGCTAACGCGGGTGCCAGCACGGTTATGAAGGTGTGGGGCACTGTTGCCATCTCCATTGGCAGTGCTGCCATTGGCCGAGTGATTAGCTGGAGGCCCTGATCTAGTTCTTGGCGCTGGGGCGGTACCGTCTGCAGCTAGTGGCGTGGTAGTTGACACCATTGCTGTCGTAGAGGCTGCTAAAGTACTGGTGGCAGTGGAAATGTCAGGCCCCTTGGGCATGGCACTGGGTTTAGAGAGAAATATAGGATCCTGTCCAATGCTACCTTTAGGATCCACTAGATCAGTGGGGACATAGTCTTGGACGGATCCCACCACAATCCATTTTAGCAGCATAAGACTGAGTCCCAGTCCCACAAAGCCCATGACTAGGGGCACGGCACAGAGCCAGGTCTGCTGGCGAGGCCACACGGCACAGGGGCCACAGCGGAGAGGGCCCGGGGCTCGAGGAGATGCCTGTTCTGCCCCTGGTTCCTCCAGCGTCATGGCTGCTAGAGTACTTGCACCAGAACGATCGCTCATCCTGCCGGAGGTTTTTTTTTGTCTCTTTTAAGGTACTGGGAAGGTCAAACAGGTGGCCAAATTACACAATGGCATGTAAGAGGAAGGACAAGTGGTGCAGAAGAAATGCTGTGCATCTTAAGTAAATAGTACCCACACAATACCTGGTCTATATGCCTTCATGCAGCAACATAAAACACGTACTAATGCACAAGCACCCACAAGCAGAGCAGACACGAGATAGCCTAAGTTACTCAGTCACGTACTAGGTGTAGGCTTACTAATTAAAAGCTGGCACGGCACTCAAATGCATACACGAGCAATATAACCTACACTCCCTCTGGCGGACAACAAACCACATAAACTCACACAGACACAGAAATGCACAAGAATATACACACAAGCACACAGGTTATGGACAGGTGAGAGAGAGAGAGAGAGAGAGAGAGAGAGAGAGAGAGAGAGAGGCGGGGAAGCGGGAGGGGGGTCGGGGGAGGGCGCCTCACTGTAGTTTAGCGCTAACGAAGCGATGATAAATCCCAGGATGCTTCACTCCCTTGTTAAAAAGCCGACGCAAAAAACCGAAAGATATCGATCCGTTGCGTGGCGAGCTTCAGATTGGAGCTGTAAATCCATACGCGTGTGTGTTCGTGCGCAGACCAACAACCTGGGCTAAAGGCAGCACCCTTCTCCACTCAGCTGGATGATTATCGGCCGAATAAGGTCGGCAAAAGACAAATTCTTCAAATCGCTCTACTCTTGGGTCTCATCGGAGTTTACTTTACATTAGAGCCTGTAGCTTATGTGCAGCCTACTAATGGGCTCCCTTTCCCACTTGCAATGTCTTTGTAGGCTGCTCCAACTTTGCCCCTCACAGCCCTTAGGAACGGCCACCCTTTCGGTCGCTCCAGCTGTCGATAATCCAAGCCGGTGAAAGCCACCGAAACTGAAACGAGGCAGGGCAGAAGGGGATCTGATGTGATCTGCCAATGAGACTGGGGCGGTGTTGCTGTTGGTGGTGCCCTGAGAAGCGGGCTAAATCCAATTGATCCTGGTCTAATCCATACGCTGACCACCCCGCGCTGATTTCCCGGAATGACAGCGGCGTGTCTCCAGAGCAGTCTAACTGCAGTCCGTCCCTGGGATAATAGATCCGGTGTTTGGTGGAGGAGAGAGAAGAGAAAGAAGAAGAAAAAAAAACAGGAGCCCCTTACGATTCGTTTACCTTCGCTGCATTCCCACAGTGGTGCAAGCAGCAGAAAGGGAGACGGGTAGAAAAGAGGATGGGGAAGAGAGAGAGAGGGAGGAGGGGGGTACTGCTGCTCTGAAAAAATGATGCGGCGGCTGTTCTTGGAGGCTGCAGACTAGGGAGAGACAGAGAGTGAGGGGAGAGAGGAGGAAGGGGAGGGGAGGCTTGCTCAATCCGCGGTCAATGATGTGGGTTTCACGGCTCCTATCCCATCCGGCGCTCTCCTCCGGTTCATCGCCGTCCTCAATACTCCAAAGTGACGAATAGTCAGTGCCCCATCTTTCCCCGTAGACTCCACGGCTGTAGGTGTGCTCTGACTCCCTTATCAGCAAGAGAAGAGAAGAGGAAAAAAAGAGGAAGAAAGCGACAATTGTGGTGGGCAAAAGCAGAAAGATAGCGGGAAAAACAAGACAGAGCACAGATGCGTGTTGGCTAAAGCTCTGCAGCAGATGCAGATAGGAGGCAGAGGGAGGAGGCGGCGGCGGCAGCAACAGCGGCGCGCACCACACACGCACGGCAACGAGAGAGGAGAGGCGCTACCATAGACACACCCCAGGGAGCGGTGGAGATAGAGCGAGGGAGGGAAAGGATGAGAGGAGGAGGAGGGAGGCGCCACCCCGATGTCTTCCACCAGTGGCACACAAGAGCAAGCAAACCAAACACCGGGCTCATAATTTAGGCTATGGGCGAGTTGGAGCACTACTTCAACTTGATACTTCCGCGGGCAGTAGATGAATCCCGTATTTAACAGTTCACAGGGGACAGCGGTGCTTTAGGCACACAGCCAGCGTGGTTTTATGGCCAGTGCGACTTAGTGAAATGAAAAATGTGCGTTCGTACTTTTAGAAAGCCTACAGTTCAGCAGTGAGACGTAAAGTGCCCGAACCATCAAGGCCTTTGGGACCTGCTGTATGTAAAGCATAAATGCAACGCAAACAAAAAAAAATGTGTGTGTGCACAAGTAAACTTGGACGACATAGGTTAAAGGCATTCTGCGAACTTATATCGTCTTTTGAATTCTGAGACATAACCACCATTCGGCATCACTTGGAGCAGTCGTCTGTATTCTCTTCTTCGTTTTAAAATAGCTTGCAACTTTGTGGCAATAATTTCCTACTTGCGGGAGCTTTGGTTGTCACCAGAGACACATCAGTGTTGCTGTTATTTTTACTACAGCACCTTTTCCCTGTTCTTCCTCAATTAATTGCAGTTGTATTGTCATTAATCAGAAAAGTGGCTAATTTTACACAGGTTGGACTCAGTTAAGGGTTACTCAGTCAGTTAGACGTCTCCAAGCCTGCAAATCGTCTCAGCTGTCCCCTTTTGTTATGTGCAGAGAAAGACGTTTGCAAATACAGAGACAGTCTTTAGTTTCACATGCACCGTTGCTTGCAGTAAGGACTGTGGTCTTATTTAAGGCTGCCATCTGCTTCTTTGTATCATGATTGATTCTTTTTTAAATAGAGAAACGGGAGTAGTCGACAAAATCAAGAAAACCGTTTATCATTTCGAAATGTGGGTGCATCTATATTGCTGTACATTTGAAAAGAAGGCTGAAAATGGGTGCGTGTCTTTGTCTAAGTATAAAAGGAAGAAGGAAAGGACCAAGATAAAGGGGTGTCTTGGTCCTTGATGTGATTCATCAAGTATCCAAAACTCACAACAACTCAGAAAACCCTCCAAAAACGTAAACATCTGATATTGCATTCTGTCTTCTTGCATATGGCAAAAAGTCACATTTTAAACTTCTTTTTTTCTTTACATATTCCTTTACATTTTAAGCTGCTGCCAAAGCGGTTCCGCTTTTTTATGGACAATAACAACTTCCGTGACCCCGAAGTTTGCTTTTCATTTCATTTTCATAAACAACAGGAAATGACACAACCACAAGCTCCTTTTATATTCGTGCAGTGATCACATTTTTCATTAGTGGCTTTGCTAATGTTCACGATGAGTCTGACTGCACTGTTTACTGCTTTAGGCGCAGAGGTAATGTCCCGCTCTGAAGATGCTTTTGAACTTGACAGGCTGTCGACAGTCATTCTCTCCCAGGAATATACTGTGCTTCTTACCCCTCTCAAGTATTTGAAGATTCTTAAGAAGTGGAAAAAATGTGAGGATTTCCAGCAGAGGAATCTATTCAAGTCATTGAAATGTTGGTTCCATTTCTGTGCGAGTTTCTTTTTGTTTTTGAATAAAGTTTCAATGAGACTTTATTAGACTTATTAGAGTATTATAACACCACATAATGTTTCATATACTATTTCCCAATATTCATTCATACATTACTAATACTGTAAATGCAAATACATTTTAAAATGAATAAATTCAACCTGTAAAAAGCTGTTGTCACAAATGCCACAACTAAAGCATGTGCTCTGGACCTCAGCTTTTATTATGTAATGTAATTATAAATTATTTTATATAAGAAACTAAAAGTGGTAAAATGAAACTTTTAAACAACTGTTTATTTCTGTTTAGTTTTTGTACGTTTCTTGTCAAAGTGAGTTTTGAAAAATAAAAGTGAAAAAATAAATAATAAGCATAGTGGATATACTGATGCTGTCACTTTGGTTGCAGTTCTGTACGTGGGGTAGGTACCAAACTATACGCTCTATAATGATTAACAGTTCAAGCCCTCTGCTTACAAGTACAGTGATGTCCTGTACTTGTAAGCAGGGACCAGAGAATTCCTTTCTGTTATGCAGAAAAGGCCATTAAGCTCACTGGCTGTGATGAACATCCATTGACGTAAGTTAAAGTTCATCTTGTTGCCATTTGGCTTATCCTGGCTGTGGAGGTTTGTCATTAGAAGCAGATATCATTTTATCTGGTGTATTCCCCTGGGTATCTCCTTGCCCAATAATATTAGTGGTTCTATGAACCTTTTGCTCAGATGCAGGGTTACATTTGTGTCAGTCATCCTGTCTAAAACATGTCTAGTCTGTTTTCGACTCCGGCCAGTGTGCCTCTTGAGCATGACGATGTGTGTGTAAGGTCAATAGGTAATGGGTGAATTTACACTCTCTGCAACCTTCACACCACTATAAAAATAGCTTATAGGCTTCTTTCACTAACCTTCTTCACTTTGAGAGCATAAACTATGGCAACCTTTATCTCCGTATTGATTATTGCTCTCTGTATAATATTAAAAATCAATGTATTTTCTCTCTGAAAGTGTCTGCATTCAAGGAGCTCTAGGGAGCTACTATTTAACAAGATTGATCAGGACATACAAACACATTCTATAACACACTGAGAAAGACTTCTCAAACCAAAATAGAGGAAATACATTTATAATGCGGTGTCTTTTCCTTTGATAACGTCCTGTGCAGCTTCCTTCCTGCATGTGTGTGGTTTCAGAAAAGGTGAACGCAGTTTTAGAGTGTCCCCAATCCAAACCTGTAAAATAGGATTAGTGCTTAATGGGGTTCGCTAGTTTCTACTAGTGCTTCAGTGAGATGCTTAGTACTATCCCTCTTTGATTAATGCATTTGGCAAGATCCCTACCTGACCTCTGGAAGCAGGCTTTCACGAAGCACAAGAAAAGTTTTCCTCGGGTTATGAAAATAATTAGCTGGCACTTATATTGCAGGGAAATTCAATTTCAGGACTTCCTCTCTTAGCCACAGAAACCCATGCAAGTCCCTGGTTGCAGTGTCTCCTAAGTATGCCCCTCAGTTTATCTCAAAAAATTTGGACTTTTCTTATCTATGTGTCGCCGCATTTTACCCCACGACCTTCAACACTCAGTTAGACAACCTTATGAGCGTTAATCAGGAGAATCCACACTGTGCTGCTTGGCTACATGCATTCCTAATACTTGGAAATCACAGCTCTTGTGGGATCAGTGCACTTCAAATATACTTGAGATTTTGTTCACAGGCAGGTTTTCATTTGAATGTCAAATGGGTTACCTGTCAGAGCAGAACTTAGAAGTGGGGGTGCCCACTGCAGTGGAGTGCAAAGTATCTCGTTGGGCAATCTCCACATCTAAAGAATAGCCGGAGAATTCCTGCTAAATGGGAGGTCCAGGTTTTCTCGGTTTTTAAAAAAACTTTTGTGATATACAACAAAAGCGAGTGGGATTAGAGCTTTTAAAATTTTTATTTTATTTTTTAATGAGGTTTTGCTTGTGACATTAAGAACATAACACGCAGGAACTGTTAACGAGTATACAAGTTAAAAAGGCAAATTGAAAGCATGTCATAGCCAAATCCATGCCATTCAAGCTACTGTTAGTCATCACATAACCCAACAGAGAAAGAAAGCTTTTTTAGTGTGTTGTTGAACTTCTGCATCATGCTCTCAGTTGACAGTCTATCAGTGGCGACTGTAAAAAGCCCTTACGTATTGGTGACAGGTAAGAGGTGAAGATCAGCAGCAGCACCTGCAAGAGTGCAGAAAAAAAAAATCAAAAGCGCTGTCCATGGTGCTGATTCTTAAAAAAAAAGTGACCAGCAAATAATCAACCAACCATTATCAGTAAATAAGCTATAATAAGACAATGCACAGTCTCAAGTGCTGTTTCTTCTTAATTTGACTTATAATATTATATTTTAATGATGTATGCATGATTAAATAACAACATCAGCGTTATGGTACCACAATAAATACAGTAATATCGCTCAAGGCATCAAAGTTCATTATAAATACATCTTAGAAACATGATGTGAAGTAATCTTATCATTGGGGTGTAGCAGGTAGACAATATTACATGTGTAGGAGTAATTAAATCATCTGTCCCCAACTGCAAACACCACATCATCATCTATTCTATATTGTTGAGGCAGCCGAGTCATAAGCCTACAAATGGGATCAGCTGTTCTCAGCTGTTGTTGCCAAACGCAGTGGACCTCCAACATTGCTGCCAGTGGGCACATTGCATTGTTCAGTTCCAAGGCCTCCTCTTTACCCCGAAATGAGAGGGTGGAGAGGTGTAACCCAGCTGGGGACAGTTGCACATGCTCTGTGATTTCAGTTTGAATGTGTCAACAGCGATATGTTTTGCCCATAGTGAAATTCACTTCTGTTTACATTGCAACTCTATGACTTTTGCCAGGGTGGATGGATCTTTATTCCCTTTGAGTATATATGCATTTCCAGCAAAACACTGGCTGAATAGCGAAGGGAATGGAACTCAACTGTGGTTCTTGTCTCATCTGGCACTTTCTGGGTATATGTTCCTATTATCTTATTTCCAATAAGTTCAAAAAAGAAAACAGAATCACAGTACTGCTAATAGGATTTCTCACTGTTTTCTTAGTATCATTAGATATTTGTACAAAGCACAGACCACTGATGTTTCAGTCATTAAAAAACAGCAGGATGTTGTTGTTTTTTTTAAAATACTAAATACTTTTAAAAATCCATACACTTTTGTTATGTTATTAATTCATGCATTGGCTTTGCTGCGCTGTTAAACAGTCAGGGACATAAAGAGCAAATTGATTGCAATGTAGCAAACATTATCCTGTGTTTTTCTTTAAACACAATTTACAGGAATTTTGCTTTTTGCATGCAATGTTTATGAGAGTGTCCTTCACACA